CAACACTTTCTGCCTCGTGCAAAACAGTCGTGTTCACTTTTCCTAATGTTGTTCATCATAGCCAGATTTCATTCTCTGTGCCCAAAGTCACCCATGTGAAAGCTTCCATGCTCCGATCCTTTAACCATCATGTGGGCTTGTTCACTTTCGTATGAACTGTCCAGACCAAATGCACACAGTATAAAGAGGCAAAGTGCAATCACAGCATAAATATAACTTATTTTTATATCCGGCTTGTTGAAATACACAAAATTCATCAAAATTTTACAGCCCTTTTTTTGGACGTCAACACAATAGCTAATACAAAGGTTATGATAAACAACAAAGCACGTTCAGTCTTTTCATCCAAGTTTGGATTTTTAATGATTTGTTTTTTTTAAAAAATGTAAACATGGAAATACTTTTGATCTGAACCTAAATGCGACTTCAATATCCTGATTTTACGAAGGTGTAGATTTACTTTTATGTAACTATTTATCTTTATTGGAGGCAGCTACCAATTCTGGTTTTAAAGGATGAGGATAATGCCTGCGGATACAAAGCCATGGGAAGCAGCATTAACTTTTTTTTCCCTTTCAAATTGGCAACAGTAGATGATGGCTTGGCTTGTAGCCAGTGCCACTTCTGATGCTAGGTCAATGCCAATGTGTCAAAGGGTTGGAATTAATGCCAGGATACAGCACATGAGTTAGCTATGGCTCTGGCAACCTAATCCTGGCACGGTGAAAATTGCGCAGTGGTTCTATATTAAGACAGATTTAAATTGAAGTCAGCATATGGATAGTTCAGTCATTGATTTAAGGGGCAAGGAGTTGCCTTTCTTGAGGTGGGCAGCCACATGCACGTGATAAAGAAATAAAACAAAAAGTGCTATTGACTTCTTCACCCTCTGGCATTCCTGCTTCTTTTGGTTAGCCTGCATCATTGCATGATGGAATTGATTCCTCTGGTGGCGTGTGCTTTTTAAAACAAAAGTTGGACTTCGGAATGAAGTCAAAGGAAAGTATCACATGTTGAGCTATATAAATTCAAAATTTGTCAGCCTGCCATGGGAACAAGCTGGTAGCTAGAACAAGCTGGTTTATATCTTTGATGAACAATATAAAGAAAATACATATCTGACTTACCAAAAATGGGAGTTTTTAAAACTATGATCCAGTCTTATAGTTTCTGAGGTTCCTTCCTCAAAAGGGAAACCAAAAGACCTCCTCACTAGCAATCAACATTCAGATGAGCATGATTAACACTCATCAATGAACAGAAATGTATTTGATTGAGCTATGCTTGTTATTTATTTGCAGTCCTTATAACCTGCAGGGTCTTATGCATTGACTAGGAATGACAGGATTTTAAGCCAACAATCAATCAAACGATACCCCAGTCAAAGACCTACCAACTCAGACAAACAAGCTAGCAGTAAACTACAGCCACCAACACTGACAGCACAATCACCACTAGTTAGTATATAAAATGAGAGCAAACCTCACTCTTTACTAGCATTGATGATATTACCTAGTTTGGTAATGAAATGTCTGCAAGAAAACAACCCAGCTCAGAGAGCATCAAGGACCCTGCAGGTTATAAGGACTGTAAATAAATAAAAAGCATATAGCTCAATCAAATACATTTCTGTTCGTTGATGAGTTTTATTTTTTTAACATTTTAATCATATTGGTTATTGACCTTTGATGAGGCTTCTTACAGTATTATGTCCAGAACAGGTGACTAAATTGCTCTTAAAGGAGCTGCATTCTTGAGCTTTTCAGATTTCAAAAGCACCTCTCTGATGTTTTATAAGACAAGGAATCTTTTTTCAAGTCTTTTGTACCAGCTCAGGAAAAAAAAATGCGCTTGAAGAGTTACATGAACTTCTGGTGCGGAAGCTGGAGAAAAAAATCTGTCTGATCTAATGAATAGCAGAAGTGCTGTCCCTCAGCAGCACGAGATCCCAAACACTTCTTCAGAGTAATTTCCGATGTGCGCGTCACCCTCTTTCCTTTCACTGGGAGTTTGTTTGCATCCTGCAGATTTAATTTGCCATTCTCCACAAACTCAGGAAAGTGTTAGAAGAGGAAGTAGCTTTACTGTTTTTCCAGCTACCGCCTGACTGCTGGGGCAAAAGATGCTTGCTGGTGTCCTGTAACTGTGATTGTCAGTTGCTGTCATTAGTCATGAACCATATTATCGGTCTTGATGACCATCGGCCCAGGCTCCGCGTGGAGCAACCCTGGCTATTTGAAGAGTTAATGAGAGAGAAAGAGACAGTGACTCAAGCCATCTGGTCTTTTAATAGATTAAGGAGCAGTGTTGGGTGCCAGTAGAGTTGGGATACGTTCACGTTCATCAGAACTAAATATGGAATGCTTGTGAAGGAAGTGTCTCGGCAACTGTTGTTTGCCTGGGCTGTGGAAAGTCCTCGTATCCATTTTGGAACTAAGGAAGAAGACTCCTTTGGTTGAAGGATGCCGGTAACACTTCACGTGTCCTTCCTTTACGTTGCAGGCTAGAGAATGCTGGCTCCAGTGAGGCTGCGCCTGCCCACCTGACCTTTGCCACCATCATGCTGTGTCCTTGGCGTGTGAAGCTGAAGCTGCTACTTGCCACTGTGACTCTGGTTTTCCTCATCTCGTGGCTTTACCTCTTTATGGGTAATCTGGAACTGGAATGGGAGAGGGTGGCTCCCCAAAACGGGCCCCGGGTGCATGAGTAGATGATAGCAATTATAGACATGGTAGCATTTGAAACCTTTGGACAAAGTCTGCCCTGTTTTCTTATGCATTGACTGGGAATGACAGGATTTTTTTAAAAAAGTCTGAAATCTAGAAGATGTCAAACTAGACAAGTCTTCTATATTTTTAACACGGGATGTGGATTATCGATTTGCTTGAACATTCAGTTTGATATTCTCTCCCCAGCCACCCCCCTTTGTGGTAGTCACCATTTTTGTTTAAGCATGGAAGTCTTTAAAACATTAAAAAAAGAGATAGTTTATAGGGAATGCAAGGAAGTTAGTAAATTACAAAGCAGTGAGAAGAAAAAGAGAATATTTTAAAAGGTACGGAATTTTAACTTATCTATATGAATTAAATAAATTATTTGCTCCTGCTGTGATTGCATTTAAGCTTTCTTATTCTGGTTTCATGACATGACATGGGAGCTCAGTGGTCAGAGATGTAGTATTCTTCCCATTCTCCCATTTACATTTTGGGGTTTCCCCCCCCCTTTCCCCCTATAGATGGATGTTCCCTTATGCTGCCCCCTTGCTTTGGGGAACAGTCAAGTCAGTACCTTGACCGCGAAGCCTTGGCATCCCAGGTGCGCAAAATGGAAGAGGAAAACCAACAGCTGAAGCTGCAACTCAGCCACTCTCAGGCACAGGAGGAGACCTTGGGTAGAATGGACTCCAACCAGCAGGGATTACAGTTCATCAAAGAGCAGGAGGGAAGGAACAACTATACCGGTTGCCTTAAACAGAGGACGGTTCAGAAGTGTGAGGTAAAAATGAAACTCATGCTCAAGAGCTCTTGTGGACTGCCTATTCATGAACGAAGAAGTCTGTCCAAATGAGGGAAGCAGTCACAAGAGGAGGCATGCTGTAGTCCAATCTCCTTGATAAATCCTGTTCTCTAAAATGTTGAACATACTCATGCTGTTCCTCTTTCGGCCCCTTTTGGCTTAAACATACTGTGATGTTTACTTTGCAGAAGTGTTTATGTGCTAATTCACGAGAGCAAGGAGTTGGCAGCCTTCTAGGAACGTGGGATAATTGTTAACTTTGAGGAATGTGAGGGTCACAGTGGTCAAAGCAAAGATGCAAATAGAGAGGGTCAAATCACGCCCTTCAATAGGGTCAGGCCTCCCTGTTTTTCTCTCTCTTATTTTTGGGAAGATATCTTTGTTTTTTAAAAAATACATCAAGCCTGTTTTATGCCGGCATTGTGAGACGCTTCTGGGTTCAAAGTGGCCCCAAAAATGATTCCAATTTTCAACACTTGAATCTGGAGGGACCACAAAATAAGGGCAGGCAAAAAAGTTGTATTAACAGAATAACAGACTTGGAAAAAACTTTGGAGGTCTCTAGACCTTATTAGTTTGCACCTGGCTTCCATTTGTGTCTGAACTCAGTTTGGTTCTTTAAGGGTTTATTATGGATGGGAACGAAATCCACAGGAGCCTATAAAATGGTGGGTGGAGTAACTTCTAATGGCTTGATTTGTGAAGGAGAAGAAAACGGGGGGGGGGGGGGGGGTTTCATTGGGAGTCAAGTTTGATGGGTTTTTATGTTTCTGAACAGCTCCTCCATGTTGCCATTGTTTGTGCTGGATACAATGCAAGCCGGGATGTAGTTACCTTGGTGAAATCCATCCTCTTCCACAGGTAACCTTAAACATGAAGGGCAAATGTTGTTGTTAATGTTGTTCAGTAGCTCTTGAATTTTTTGGCTCTTTAGAATTTTTTTGGGGGGGAGAGGGGGATTCAAATGTGATGCTGTTCTCCACCTTGGATTCCAAGCTGCAATTTTGGATACAGGAGAAAAGAGGAAGTACGCAGGGGAAATTTGGATTTAATCTTCCACCCTTTACTCAGGGGTGGGATTCTACTGGTTCGCACCTATTCGCTAGAGCCGGTTGTTAACATTATAAGCAGTTCAGAGAACCGGTTGTTAGAAGAAATTACTGGCCTAATCCTGTAAGGAAGGCAGGAAGGAAACATTCTGGTGTTGCTTACAGAAACTGTCTCTCCGTTAACCCTTATTACATTCTTGGCAGGACTAGACTTCCAGTCTCAGGAATGTCTCTGGAGTTTTTTTCCCTCTTTTGCTGGTACCACCAAGCCACATCCACCACCGAAGCCACGCCCACAGAACCGGTTGTTAAAAAAATTGAATCCTACCCCAGCCTTTACGTGATCTACTCTGCCCTACCCTGCTCTGCCCAGGAGAGTAGATGGGACTATAGAGAGTCTTGGGTTTGCGACCTATCATCTGCTGCTGAAGAAAAACATTTGGAGAGTGGGATAGGACTGTTTATTTTCTTGTGTGTCTTGCTCCCATTTCTTGTGAGCATAATCTTTATTGTCATTTGATAGGAAGAACCCTCTCCACTTCCATCTCATCACAGACTCGGTGGCCCGACAGATACTACAGACGGTCTTCCAGACCTGGATGGTGCCCTCAGTTCAAGTTAGCTTTTACAATGCTGATGACTTGAAGGTAGGAGGAGGAAATCCCTACTTGAGTTGCCCCTGGCTCCCTTTGCCCGCTCCACCCAATCTCCTTTCCTTTGGAATGTCCCACTTTTTAAAAAATGCTTATGCCAGTTGCTGTTTTTTCTGTTGTTTTTTGAGGACTGGGTGGGAATCCGGATCACTATTTGGGTGGATTGAACTTACTTCAGTTGCTTCAGATTTAACCTGGAAATAAGGAGAAACTTTCTGACAGTGAGAACAATCAACCAATGGAACAGCTTTCCTGGGAAGTTGTGGGAGCGCCATCACTTGAGACTTTCAAGAAGAGATTGGACTGCCATTTGTCAGAAATGGTGTAGGGTCTCCCGCTTGGGCGGGGGGGTGGACTAGATCAGTGGCCCCCAACCTTTTTTGAACCAGGGACCGGTTTCACGATTATTTATTCTTCCACGGACTGGTACCTGAGTAACGTGAGACTCCACCGCCATCGGGACGGCTCTTCGTTCGAAGCCGCATCCCCCTCTTCAACGAAACTAAGGCGCGAGCACCCAAACGCCGCTTTCCAACTGAAAACCCGGAAGCACTTTCCAACCAAAAACCCAGAAGCAACCAAAAACCCGGAAGTGCCGTCGAAACAAGATGGCGGCGCCCAAGCTTTGCGGCCCGGTAAAAAATGATCCACGGACCAGTACCGGTCCAGGGACCGGTGGTTGGGGACCCCTGGACTAGATGACCTACAAGGTCCCTCCCAACTCTGATTATCTGCTATCTGTTATCTGCTCCGCTAACCAAATCAGTAATATCACTGAGGCAACAACTGGCCATTGAATAGGCAATTTCCCCAACCTTAAATCTTATGTTTCACAGCTGAAACCCTGGGGGAATCCACTCTGGCCCTTCTCCCTGCAGATTTGTCCAAACAGCAATCTAAACATGGGTGTGCATACTTTGGCACCCAAAACAAGATTGTGATCTTAGGTCTGCCTGCCCCACCCAGAGAGCGATCCAGCTATAGGTGTGCATGCCACAAGCACACGAATTTTGCTAGCTATGCTGAAGCTCTGCCAAATTGTGCTCTGCCTCTGCCTGGACTCTAAATGCACAAGCCTGTTAACGTTTCTAGCCGTCTTCACATTTGAGAACCTCTGAGCAAAGGGAGTGATTGGAAGTCTGGCATTCATCAGTTCATTGGTTCCAGGGGGAAGAAGGGATGCTGAGCTTGTCTCTTGGTCAGTGCCAAAAAGGTACATTGTTTCAGAAAAAAAAAATCACTTCCATTAATGCAAGAAGGTTAAATCTTGGCTCCAAATGATAATGAATTGTCTTCAAGACTGGGTATAATGAATAATTGTCAAGGCTGCAGCAATCAACCATCCAGGATATAAAGTTGAAATAATTCATATACACAGAATACCGTTCTGCAATTCAGGACTTCTAAGAAGATTAATCTCCTTGGAAAACTAAAATAAGAGCAGAAAATTAAAAGGCTGACTGGAGCAGTTCCATTCAGGAGAGCTATGAAGTTGTCCACAGGCATAAAATGATATTTAATGCTCTTAGGTGACACTAAGTGATCTACTTTAATTTCTCAGCTACTGCCACATACGTGTTGTTCTCCATAATAATCAAGCAGAACTAGAAACAGATTCATAAGGAGCTAGAGTAAAGTTAAGGGATTTAGGGACATGGATGGTTTTATTCTGATGCTATGGAAGGGGCTGCTTTATTGATGGTATTACAGGTAGTCCTTGACTTACAGTACAGAGGTTTATTTAGTGACTGTGATGATCCGGGGCGTGGCACAAAGGCAACACAGTCAGATTAGCAATAAGAGTCCCTTTATTATCTCCAACTTTGCCCCCAATGTCCAGATTACCTTCAGGCTAGAGAAAAACTCTCCCAGGAACAGCTTTTGACTGTTGAAAATTCAGTCCAAAAGAAGGTACACACAAACTGTAACTTAAAATCCAAACAAACCAAACTGAAGTAATTAGTTTGGCGGGGCAGGAGCAGGAATTTCAAACTTGAAAGCACGGCAAAACTCACATAGTTGGGAAGATGCCAGGAACACAGATAAGCCACAACAATACAAGATAAAGTCACGTTTGCTCCCAACAGCCTGCTGCACGCAGCTTGCCTTTTTTATGCACTGCGTTCCCAGCTGCAATTAATGAAGGGAATCAGGGCCCTTTCCTCCCCCATAAGCCATGCAACCCACATTGCTCTCTTCTCTGTTCCTCCCTGTGTGCCCTAGGATGAAGAAAGGGTGGGACTGGGTCTTCCTTTGAATTCCCTCTCCCTTACTCTACCTCTCCCCTGCTCTGCCCAGCCAGACGTTACCCTTCCCCAGTTTCCTCCACAGCCAACAGAGCCACACTTCCACTCCCTGTCAGCTGTTCAACTTCCTCCTCCGAGTCAGATTCCGACAGGGGCATGACAGTGACTGTTCAAAGTTAAAACAGCACTGAAAAAAGGACTTATGACCATTTTTCACACTTCCGACTGTTGCAGCCTCCCCATGGTCATGTGATCAAAATTCAGACACTTGGTAAATGACTCATATTTATGACGTTTGCCATGTCCAGGGGTCATGTGATCACCTTTTGTAACCTTTTGACAAGCAAAGACAATGGAGAAGCCAGATTCGCTTACCAACTGTGTTACTAAAACTTCAGCGATTCATGTAATAACTGTGGCGAGAATAATAGCAAAAGTACTTATATGTTTATACTGCTTCACAGTGCTTTACAGCCCTCTCTAAGTGGTTTACAGAATCAGCCTCTTGCCCCCCAAAATCCGGGTCCTCATTTTACCCACCTCGGAAGGATGGGAAGCTGAATCGACCGCGAGCTGCTCAGGATTGAACTCCTGGAGTGAGGAGTGAGTTGGCCTGCAGTAGTGCATTCTAACCACTGCATAACCACAGTTGAATGGTCATAATGTGAGGAAAAACTCACTTAACAACTGTCTCACACAAACATCTTGGGCTCAACTGTGGTTATAAGTCAAGAACTACCTGTAGATCTTTTCCACTGCAAAATAAAAACCAAACTAGTTGTAGGAGAAGACTTTCTGATTCTTTTACATTTAGCAACAATTGACAAAATATAATTGCGTGACTGATTCAGGAAGATGCTAACACAGATTTTTTTAAAGCATAATTTTGCCTTGATAGTTAGAAAACACTCATGTTAAGAGGAATTGGTGGCTTTTAGGGGAATGTATTAATATAGATCTCTTGCCAAGATGTCCTCAAATGATGGAGAAGACCTGAATCAATATACAATTGGAAACTTTGTCACCAGGGTAAAATACATGTGGTCCTTCAGAAGTTGCTAAAATTTCTAACATTTTCCACCACAGCTATGCTGCCTGTGGCTTTTGGAAATTGTAGTTCAGCAGTATTTGGAACACTGTAGGTTCCCCACTCTGACCCTTGAACCCCTTAAGAAATGCTAACAGGATTAACATTGTGAAATGTGTAGCTCTTGTACATGGTGTGTGTGCGTGCGTGCGTGCGTGCGTGCGCAAAAGCATGGGTTGTTTTCTGACAACAGTCTCTAGAATGGACATTGCTTTAAATTGTTTCCTTGTGGAAGCTGCCATTTGAATGTAGGGTGCAATGGCCTGATCATATACAATTTGTCTTAATGTTGCTGCTGTTCCACAGGAGAGTAATGATGGCCCACGTACAAGTCACACTGGCCCTTATTCTTTGCAAGCATCTCTACAATACTCATTTGGGGCTCTGGATCACAGTGGAGACAGAGTGTCTCTTTTTGTTGCCTTCCTGTGTTAAATAGAATTTCATTAGTCATGAGCCATAGAAGCATTACGATTAAATGTTGACCTTGCCCATAGCTTAAGCAGGTGATCTTGCCATTTTATTCCTCGATATTCTTCTCTCTTCTTGCTACAGCCAGATATTTCCTGGATCCCTAACAAACATTACTCTGGAATCTATGGATTGATGAAGCTGACTCTCACTAAAGCTTTGCCCTCTGACCTTTCCAAGGTCATCGTCCTTGATACCGACATCACATTTGCTACTGACATTGCGGAGTTGTGGGCTATCTTTGGGAAGTTCTCAGGTAAGTAAGGGACGAGAGGATTTTTTTTTAGATCTTCTCAGAATGGAAGTTATGGCTCTCCAAGATGAATATATCAATACGCTCCACATATCAATATCCTGTACCAATATATAGCCAATATAGCCGCTACAAGTTGTTCAATGATTTCTTGAGATTCACAATGTTGCCTTTTGGGGGTCTAAAATTCAGACTATTCTTCCCTAATCTGATGCTGTCTCGATAGATTGGTGTTCTGTTCAGGATTCCCAACTAGCCAATCTGGTTTATATTATTTGGTGATCGGCTCAGGAGAGTAGTTTAAAATCTACAGATAGTCCTCGACTTTGTCATCACAATTGGGACCAGAATTTCCTTCCTTAAATGATGTCATTAAGCTCAATGTCACTTGGCCACATTGTTTAGCAGCAGCAGTCCCAGCACTTCTGATTGCTGTCATAATTCCAGGCACCGGGGTCATTAAGCAGGAGGAGGAGAGATCCCAGGCAAGGAGGGTGTGTGTGTGTGTGTGTGTGTGTGTGTGTGTGTGTGCCACAGTGGTGAAGCCCTGGAAGGCCTAATGCAGCTGACATGAGGATATAGGGAAGCTGGAGAAAGAATAAACTCTGACTCAGGGATTTATTTGTGTGCTGCCGCCCTGAGGCTGTAAGAAGCTCTTGAATCATAGCGCAGTGTGAAATCGACATGCCCCAGGAAGCATCAACAGCACAGTGCAAACGTGCTGCCCAGCAATACGGCCCAGCACGCCTCAGCCCACTCGCCCTCACTGCCCTAAGCTCCAAGACCCCTCTCACCACCCCAGCTGACTTTGGCCACCTTCTGCTTCTTTTGCTGCTGAGTTGTGCCCATCCTGGCATTTGGCAAGCCGGATGCTGGTCCCTTGAGGCCGCCTTCCCCAGGTCTTGTGAGTACAGGTGCGCTTTTGGGAAAACAGCAGGCGCCCCATTCTTGCAATGCTTCAGAAGACCTCATAAAGTCCCTGAAGGCTGTCTGAAGCATCCCAAGGATGGGGCACACAATATGGAAAACAGCGCAAGTGGCCTTGGGAAGAAAGCCTGGTATAGCCAACAGCTGTTATCCCACAGAGTATCATCATCAGGAGGAGGACTATGGCATCGGGCAACTGGGTGTGGCAGGGCAGTGGAGGCAGCTGGAGTTTGGGCTGTGGGTGGCTGACCATGGTATGAGGATGGAGGTGGTATTTCTCAGTAGTACCACTGGAGCTACGAACAAGCCTGTGGATCATGGTAGTTGACTCGCTGCTGAAGGCCTCAGGCCTTTAACTTCAGTCCTACCCCTGCCCAGGTGCTGAGGAATGCCATAGTGCAGGCCAGACAAAAGGCCATAAATGGGAGGAGGGGGAAGGAGTTTAAGTGCCCCTTGGTTGTAAATGTGACCTGCCAAGCACCCACATTTCAATCACTTAACTACAGGAGGTATGTAGCAGCTGTAACCTTACAGGCCAGTCATAACTCACCTTTTAAAGTGCTGTCGTAATTTTGACCAGTCGCTGAATGGAGTAGTCATACATTGAGAACTACTTCTATATCCTAGCAGGTTTATGGGAATGTGACAGAATATGGATTTGTTTTCTAATCCATCCAGCTGTGCTGTTTTTCAGATGGTTTAAAAAAAACAGGAATAGGAGAATCAATTATTGGGGCCTAGCGTAGTGAGAATGGGGGAAGTCTTCTTCTTGCACTGGATCTGATTCCGTGGCAGTATTCAGCCAGTTCACACCGGTTCACTGGTAGCAAGGATTTGGTGTGGGTCACTGAACCAGTAGTAACTTCTGGCTGGCCACACCCCCAACCCGGTCGCCGCTTGCTTGCTTGCCCCATCCGCCTGATGCTCGCCCGCCCAGTCACTCCTTAAGGTATTTCTTTTTTTTTTTTAACCTCCCGACAGTCAGCTGATCCTACGAACAGCTGTGCCAGACTCCCCTCACTTCTTACTGCTTCACCCAGGAGGCTTTCCTGAGGGCCCAGGAAGGCAAAAAAATGGAGGGAGGTGGCACAGCCCCCGCTCCATTTTTTGCCTCTCTGGGCCCCAGGGAAGCTTCCTGGGAGCAAAAACGCCCACCCTAGAGGCTCCTCTGAGGCCAGGAAGGCGCCAAAACGGAGTGTGGGGGGCTGCTGTGTGCCCCTCCTATTGCTACGTTTTTTTCCTTCCTGAGCCCCAGGGGAGCTTCTGGGAGCAAAAATGCCCCTCCCCAGAGACTCCCCTGAGGCCTGGAAGGCCCCAAAAGTAGGGTGGAGAGTGGGGGTGGTGCTGCCAAAAAAAGCCGCACCCACCTAATCACATGGCCACACCCACCTAGCCACGCCCACAGAACCAGTAGTAACAAATGTTGAATCCCACCACTGATCTGATTGGTGTCATCTTTAATCCAGATAAACAGGTGATTGGATTAGTGGAAAACCAAAGTGATTGGTACCTGGGGAATCTCTGGAAGAACCATAAACCATGGCCAGCATTGGATCGTGGCTTCAATACAGGTACATTCTACAACAGATATATGTCTATTCAGCTGGGGCAATTATCATATCAACTATTATTATTTTAAATCGATATGTTTACCTTATCAACTATGACTAAGCAGTGATGATCTAAGTGAGCAGGCAAAGCTTCATTTGTTTTGTACTATTAAATTTCAAAAAAGGAATGCAAGTCAGTCCTTGGGGATAGATGCATAGACACCCCAGAAGTGAGCTTTGTATCACTTCTTTAAGTAGTCCTCATTTAACAACTAGAGTTGGGACTAGCACCTTGGTTGTTAAGTGAAGCAGTCTTGAAGTGAAAGCATAACTATTTGACGATCTTACTTCAGCTTTCCTTTGCTTGACAGACCTGTGAGGTCATAAAAGTGTGGATTGGTTGCAACATTGCTTTTTCATCACTGTCACTGTGAACGATGGGTAAATCATCAGACCCTAAACGAGAACCTATCTATAGTTTAGCCTTCCAGTTGTGTTCTCCATATGTGTTGGGCAAGACCATTGCAGATGCATGATAAACTGGGATTAAGAGGCAGGAGAAAGAGAAGAATCATTATTCTACCCAGTAATTCTGCCTAATAATTCTCCCACTGCTAGGACAGTCAGCTGTTGTTCTTTTTGAAACAAAAGCGTGGGTCTAATGTGGTCCTTGATAATGTTGCCTTAGTGAGTGGGTGCGATGTCAGTGGCATAGAAATAGTTTGGTAAACAAATGAACGCTGTAACACTGTGACTCGAATAAGTTTGGGGAGCCAGAGAGATTGAGCAATCTCAGAGAAGCCCCCTCATATTATGAAGAACGTCTTTCAGGGCTGGGTTTTGGTCTCCTCTTCCATAGGGGTGATCCTGTTGCTGCTGGAGCGTTTGCGCCACCTTGGCTGGGAGCAGATGTGGCGGGTGACAGCCGAGCAAGAGCTCATGAACATGCTGTCCACCTCACTAGCAGATCAGGCGAGTGTTCTTGGCTATTTTTGCGTGTGATTTGCTGCCCTCTCACACTAGGCCCACAATGTGCTTTTCATTTCAACCTAGGCAGAGAGAAAGAGAGAGAGATTAGATGTTGCCGTTTGACAAAAAAACCTCTAATTTGTTTCCTTCCGATGTGACTCCACACTTGCTTTTATCCTGAAGCTTTCTCCTCTTCCAGAGTGCCCAGTGTGCCCAACTGCAATCTCTCTTCTAGGACATCTTTAACGCCGTGATAAAACAAAAGCCAGCCCTTGTGTACCGGCTCCCTTGCTTCTGGAATGTGCAACTCTCTGATCATACCCGTTCAGAGCGGTGCTACACAGAGGTGTCTGACCTTAAGGTGAGCATTGGCTCCCTGGCCGAGGCTTTGCTGACCTTTGCCTTTGGTAACCTTGGGGAAACCTTAGATTTCTGTCTTGCTGAAACTTTCAGCATTCCGTAGTTTAGGTAAAGGGGGTGCTGGGAAGGCTTGTCTATTTCCTAATGCTGAAGGTGTTAGCCTTAGTCACTTTAGCTTCCCGCCCTCAGGTGATTCACTGGAACTCTCCCAAGAAGTTGCGAGTCAAAAATAAGCACGTGGAATTCTTTCGGAACCTTTATTTGACCTTCTTAGAGTACGATGGCAACTTGTTGCGCCGAGAGCTGTTTGGCTGTGCCAGCTTGCCCAGTGGCCAGGTGAGACTCGGCTTTCTGATCTTCTTCCTCCTCCTCGTTATGTCTGAAATTGAGAAATGTTTTAATTCATTTAGCTAATTTAATCTGCATGTGTGAAACCACGGAGAAGGAGGAAGTTATCATGGGGGTTACTGGGAGGGAACTATCACACAGGGGTTGTGTTAACCTAGATTAACCATTGTCTTGATCACTGCTGCCTAGCTATTGGCTGATGAATGAGGAAAAATGAGCAGGAGCTTTTGAATTATTTGGGCAAGACCAGAGTGGCCATTTGAAGTTCCTTGTTCACCTGTCAATGGCGTATTAAGGATGCACAGTAGCTACATGTCATTCTTGACCAACTGTTTTATTTTGAGATCTCATTCTGTGTCTCAAATATACTCCTATGTAAATTTTAGCTCCAGCAAGCTCTGGAAGAGCTGGATGAAGACGATCCTTGCTATGATTTTCGGAGGCAAAGCCTTATTCAGCACCGCGTCCATCTCTTCTTCCTGCAGTATGATTTTTCAGGGTCGGCCGATGAAATAGATGTAACTCTGATAGCTCAGCTGTCTATGGACAGGTACCAGATGGGGGGAAACAGAAGGGTGTGGGGCCCTGGTTCTTTCAGGTGTTCCTTTCATTGCTGTAGAATTGGAATTCCATCAGATGGTGGCGCTTTCATATGTCACTTTGGGCTTAAAAGTGAGAAAATGTGCTATAATCTTAGCATGTGCAAAAAATATAGTGGTATTCAGCTTTTCAAATATTTTTTAATAACACAGTTTTATAAGCATTTGTGCTTGCTGAGAATTATTTAGTTAACATGATATGCGACCAGTATCTGGTAAAGATTAAAACCAAAGGGGATCCGCCAAGAGTTAGTCCAATATTATTTTCTTTTGAAAATTATGGAGGGAAAGATATATAAATCTTAAACTAAAATATCCAGGCTTTATTATTTCCTTCCTTCTTTGATAGAACATCATATCTGAGGTACTATCAGATTGCAACTAGCCTATAAACTGAAAGTCTTGGTAAAAAGATAGATGTAGCCTCTGTTCAATTTATAGATCATGTGGGAGGCCTACATAGGCCATTTTGTATTTCCATCATAAGGGAAGGCAAGATACTAAATGATTTTGCCTGCAATGTTTACAAGGTTCCTTTTTACCTTTGCATGTGATGGTAGTGAATCCCATTGTCAGAGGAAACCAGATTAATATTTTTAGATTGTCTATGAGAGTTTAGGGATAACTATTCTATAACCAGCTATAAATCAGATGTTCAGATGTTCAGATGTGAGTAGAGGGGCTGTCCCTTATCATATTTTTTGCTTTCAACTATTTCATGTTTCCTTTAACCTCTTCTCTTTGCATTAGATGTGCCCTTCTTGAATTGAGGCATCCTTAAAATATTTTGTTAGGAAATGCTGAGATTTTAGCTTTGCATCCCTTAACTTGAGCCAACTTTGTAAAGTAATCTGTTTTCTGAACAGAATCAATTATGGAAGGAAAATGATTAGACCCAATTAACAAAAGGTCTGCATGAGTCACTGAATGAATTTAGTGGTGCAAATTGGATGAAGAGCATGTTTAAAGAGCATGTTTTGACACTGACATGGAGGCCACACAAAATCAGTTCTCTCCAGACAGATTGTATAAATTTGTGTACTTGTTAAAATAAACATAAAATAATATTAAAATAAGGATGATTTGTAAACTTGGTTTTTAATTTTGTGTAAATAGTGTTTGGTGTTAGGATACAGTGCTGGTTGCACTTTTTTGGAATGTCACAAAAGTCTGATTGCCTGAACACAAACCCTTGTGCTTGTCAGAATATGAGCATTCCTGAAATACCTATTTCTAAGGTATCTGTTATTTTTAATATTCAAATGTGGACAGCAGCTACATTGGAAGAAAACAAAACTTTAAAAATGGAGCGATGGATCATCAACAAAATTACATTTGGAAACTAAAGAGCATTTAAATTTTATTTTAGAAGGGTTTGTGGAGCCTGGGATGACTAGGCTCTGTAGCTTTTGGTTGACTAATGATAATATGTGATGCTCTCAATTTGTGTTATTGATTTGCAGGTTGCAGATGCTGGAGGCAATATGTAAACACTGGACAGGCCCCATTAGTCTGGCTTTGTACATGTCTGATGCGGAGGCCCAGCAGTTTCTACGCTATGCTCAGGCATCGGAGGTGCTAAGTAACCGTCGGAATGTTGCCTATCACATTGTATACAAGGAAGGGCAGTTTTACCCAGTCAACTTCTTGCGCAACATGGCCCTGAAAAATGCACAGACCTCCCACGTTTTTCTGATGGACATTGATTTTCTGCCTATGTACGGCCTCTATGATTATCTCAGGTGGGTCTTCTTGAGGTCCAAAAGGGGTCAAAGCAACAATATGGTTTTTAACTGAGTCTCCCAAAGAGCTAAGAAATTGTGAAGTCCCCAGTCTTTTCTCCAGTGTCCCTCCACATAGGTCTCAGTTCCCCCCTTTAGCTGGCATCAAGTTTCTTCGTTGTGAAGAAGCTGTCGCCTTCTTCATGTCCTCTTTCCACTGATGTTGCAGTTGACTCCATTGGCCATACTGACCCCAGAGGAGTCCATAAGTCTATGTTAGCTTTATTCTAATGTATTCCTTAGGCTAAGGAATCTTAGAAGTCTTGCAATTTGTCTCCAGGTCCTCTATCATGCAGCTGGAGCTGCCCTCAAAGAAGGTAGCGCTCATAGTGCCTGCCTTTGAGACTCTGCATTACCGCCTCAACTTTCCCAAATCCAAAGCGGAGCTGCTCACCATGCTGGACATGGGCTCCCTCTATACTTTCAGGTAAGTGCTGATCAGAAAAGGTCCATTTTCAAGAACCAGAGATTCTGGACCATCTTTAGCAACTAAAGAGCAAAACCAGTTTCACAATTCTCTTCAGTAACTTACGCACCAAGATTTAACTGATTATTTGGAACTGATAGATGAATTCAATGCTGTAGTCCCTAGTTATGAATATATTTCCTTTTCTCCCAGTTCAACTTAACATTCAGCCCTCTAATTTTCTGGCACCATTTCCTTTCCAGGCTCCTCCCCCCCCCCCCCCCCCCATTTCTCATGACCTTTTCCTCCTCTGCATTTCTCAGACCATTTAAACCATTTTCTCTTCTCCAATTCTGCCCCTCCCCCATCAAATCTCTTACTTCTCTGCTTCCATTGCCTTTCTTTCTTCATAAATCTGCTAATAGCTTGGTTTCCATTGATACTTTAGAGTCCGTTTTGGTCTCCCCTGCCCCATTATCTCCCATTTGTTTCCAGGCATAATTAAAATGCCTTATTTTGTCGGTAACATGTATGGATATCTACCAGGGGAAAAAAAGGTTGCTTCTCCCACACAATCCAATTCATCTTAAATGATTAGATGATTAGGATCTTTGTTTCATGTCCTATTATCATCTGAGGTTTATTTGGAAAAAAATTCCATCTTCACTCTCAAATCATTGTGAAAACCCAAAACAAATCAGAATTCTGCTGAAATTCAATGGGACATGTCTGAGCATCCGCAACACAATGTCAATTTCTTTGGTTTGGGCGTAGAAGGTTGATTGGGAGAATATTTGTGCTCCCACTTTTATTTTTGCAAAGGCACGAGTCCTGAGATAAGGCCAGCTTCATTGGTATTGTGGTACTCTCTTACAATCTCTCACCTGGGTAGACCTTCTTTGGAACAGCTTGCTTCCTAAAGTAAGGAATGTGCTCAACTCCTGATTTTCAGAAAGATCTTAAAAAACATTTTTATTTTGGATGGTGATAGTACTGAACTGTCCTAAGGCATTAATTTTAGAATTTTAGTTGTTATATATTTATTGTATGGCATTGTAAACCCTTTAGAAAGTGAAGGATTCGTAAATAATGGTATAAATTCATGAACCTAATATCTTGTGACAATCCAAGAAGTGTGATTTTTGATAGAAGTAATAAGGAAGTCTGGTTAATCTGAGCTTGTTTTTCGGTCTCTTAGTTTCCAGTATAGGAACCAGATGCAGACTGAAGTATTTTCACTTAGTGTTTCTCCAATGATACATATTTTTGTGCACAGGTACCACGTGTGGCCCCAGGGCCATGCTCCAACAGATTATGCCAAATGGCGGACAGCCACAGTGCCGTATCAAGTGGAATGGCAACCACAGTTTGAGCCTTACGTTGTAGTAAGGCGCGATTGTCCCCTCTATGACCAGCGGTTTGTAGGCTTTGGGTGGAACAAGGTGTCTCACATCATGGAGCTTGATGCTCAGGTGAGTATGTGGCTTTTCAACAATCTACTGTCTGTCCTTTTTGTTGAGGAAGGCCAGGGTTGAAGAGAATGGCTTCCTGTCAGCCACTTCCTACCTTTTCCACAGGAGTATGAGCTGCTTGTCCTGCCCAATGCCTTCATGATCCATATGCCTCACGCTCCTAGTTTTGACATCTCCAAATTCCGCCAGAGTACTAGCTATCGGAACTGCCTCCAGACTCTGAGGGAAGAATTCCATCAGGACCTGTCCCGCAAGTATGGTGCAGCAGCACTAAAATACCTCACTGCGGAGAGAAGTTTATGAATGGCAACCAGAATACCAAAGGATCGTGTGACCTGCAAATGGACGAGGCTCAGACTTCTTGGAGAAAGACTCATCGGAAGCCAGTCCTCGTAGCTATGGTGACCTAATGGCACGGCCATGCCTAGATTGTGAATGGAATTTTAGCCACGGCTATTGTCCAGGGGTATATTTTGTGGCAAATTCTATTCTCAGATTAACTAGGCAAATTACATTTGTATGCATCTGCCTCTTTTTAGAGATCGTTCCCAGATTAAGAGGAAGTCAGAGGAAAAGAGAGGGAAAATGTGTGGCTTTTGGGCTCTCCCTTTCTCATGTACACTGTTTTAATATAGTGCTTGTGTTCACCTACATTCAATGATGGAAAGGAACATTTTTGTTCATAATTGTAGCATTTTTTTTCTCTGCTTATCAAATAGCAAGGGCTTCCGTCACTCTTTTCTACTGTCTTCTCTTTGCCCATTGTTCTCTAGCCTTTCTTCTTAGCCTATTTTATAAGAGAAGCGGTCCTAATGACTTAAATCAGAGCTGAAAGGGGCTGTCCTGTTCAGTGCAGGAGTCCAAATTAAAGACAGATGATTAGTCTTCAGTTGAATGGATCCATGAAGGGAGTTCACCAGGTTTCTGAGCATTATAATTGATTTGGACTGTCAAGTGACTTTCAGGTGCAATCTACTTCTAAAACCTGTTGTTAGGTAACACAAGTTAGGAGGGTGCTACTCTGTTCTTTGATTCTCTTCTGGGTTTTTTTTATACTATCAGTTGGCCACTATGGAAACTGAATGGGGAACCTAGGTAAACCTGTGATGATGTTATCTAGTTTTGATAATGAAACATTTGCAAGAAAACAATCAAGCTCAGAGAGCACCAAGGACCCTTCATATCAACCTCTGATTTGATCTTATTTCTAGCCTCACCCCCTTTCTCCTGGTTTTGGCAATTTCCCTGAAAATCAAATTTGAAGCAAGACAATTCATTTAATGTTAATGTTGACCTTTTTCTCTTTTCCTACCTGCCTCTGAATATATTTCAGCCTTTGCAAGAGAAACTGTCCTGTGTTTCTTACTTATCTGTTTAGTTATGGCCATATTGATTGAAGAGCTTTTTGTGCTTTAACTGTATTCTGAAACAAGAACCGTATGTCATGTGGGGAGAAAAGATAAAATGAAGAGAAATCCATACTACATATTTTGCTGAGAATATATGGCATTAAGTAATGATTTATGCCATATATAGTGCTGCTTAAAATCTCCTTTGAATTTCCAGTAGATCTGTGTAAATATGAGCTAAAATGTTATCTGTTCTCCACCCAACTCGTAAAACAAGATAAAGAGAACCCAATTAAATGAATGGTTCAAAATATAGTACATATTCATTGATTTATTAAGCAAAGTGACCCAAAACTACATATTTATATGTGACAAATGAGTACGAAAGTTTGTTTTCAGTAGCTATCATGCCCCCACCCAAACCTGGGTAGCAATACCTGCAATTAAATATTTTCAATAACTATTGATCTGTGCTACACACTGTACTGGTGGAAATTTAGCCCATTCCTCCTTATAAAACAGGTTTAATTTAGGGTTGTTGGCAGGTTTCCTTGCATGAGTTGCCTATTTTGGATCCTTCCACAACATTCTTATGATTGAAATCAGGTCTTTGACTTGCCCTTCCAAACTATTTATTTTCTTCTGCTTTAATCATATTTTTGCTTGTATAACGTTTATGTCTCGGGTCATCCCCTTGCTGCATGATCCACATTCTCTTGAGCTTCAGTTCAGGGACATTTTTCTGTATAATTTGGTAGCATAGTTCAGAAGTTATAGTTCCATCAATGATGGCAAATCATCCTGGTTTAGAGGCAGTAAAGCAGGCCCAAACCCTGATACCAGCACTGCATTTCACAGATGGATTAAAATCCTGCATTTGCCTTTTGCCAAACACTTTTCAGACAAGCCAAAATGTTTCTATTTTGAGCTCATCCATCCACGTAACATTCTTCCAATTGCCTTTGACTTATCATGTGGCTTTTCAAAAACTGTAGAGAGGCAGCAATGGTTTTTGTTTAATTTTTTTTTTTTTTGAGAGTAGTGGCTTTCTCCTTACAACATTCCCCTACATACCACTGTTGTCCAGTATTCTGTCATGCTACTCATCAATGCAAGAGAGGCCTGGGGTTCCTTAGGTGTTTCCTGGGGGCTCTTTGAAACTTCCTAGAATATTTCACATCTTGCTCTTGGGATTGTATTTCGTCAACAACTCCTGGGGAGGGTAACAATAGTTGCCTCCATTTGCCTCCATATAATCTGCCCTGATAGTGAACTGGTGAAATACAAACTCTTTGGAAATAGTTTTGTAATCTTTTCCAGTCTGATGAGCATCAACAACTGTTATTCAAAGGTCTTCAGAAATCTTTTGAGCCCTGGCACACACTTCTGCAGTCCTGTGCCGTGAAGATAGTAGAATTCTGTTTTTTAAATAAGGCAGAACTTCTCATGCTCACACCTGATTATCATCACCTTGATTTAAAGACCTGACTCGCTCTTGAAATGCTAGAGTTGAACTCTGCTCATACTAGAGTCTCATATACTTTTGCCTCACACACAGAATATGTAGATTTGGATCATTTTTCCCAATGTATTAATCAGCAAATGTTTTCAACTCATTTCTTTAATTATGTTTTCCTTATCTAGTTTTAGGAGGTGAGTAGGATGATCTAGAATAGGGGTTTCCAGCCTTGGCAACTTTTTAAGATTTTATGGACTTCAACTCCCAGAATTCCTCAACCAGCCAAGGTTGAAGACCCCTGATCTGGAAGACATTTTAGATCATGCTGATGGAGAAATACTGAAAACTCAAGATTTCACAAACTTTTAAGCACCACTGCAATACAGGTAGTTCTCAACTTACAACAGTTCGTGCAGTGACCATTACAACAGCACTAAAAAAAAGTGACTTATGACCATTTTTCACACTTATGACCCTTGTAGAATCTCTCTGGTCATGTGATCAAAATTCAGTCATTACAACAGTTGCAGTGTTCTGGGGTCATGTGCCAAGCAAGGTCAATAGGGAAGCCAGATTTACTTAACAACCGTAGTTACTAACTTATCAACTGCAGTGATTCACTTACCAAAGGTGGCGAGAAAAGTCATAAAATGGGGCAAAACTGACTTTTAACAAGTTTCTCACTTAGCAACATAAATTTGGGGCTCAATTGTGATTGTCAGTTGAGGCCTACCTGTACCGAGTTTTTGAATTAGGCTTGGCCAAGCAAATTCTCTTGAAAAAATTAATAAGGTATTTTTTGAAGTCAAATCTCCTTCCTGCTGCCTCTTTTCATTGTTCCACCATCTAAAAGGGGTGGTTGTGTCATTATGCCACAGAGAAGCTCCCCTTGACTTCTGCACTCCCAAAATCACCTTAGTGCAGCTGTAATTTGGGTACTGCTCAGCCCTGTCAAGCAAACTCTTTCCCCTCCATGGAGGAAGGTGAAGTTCATCCAAGGCCCTTCATATTTCCTATCCCTAAATTACAACAGAGTTCCTTACCCCAGGGACGGAGCCAGGTTTCAATTTGTAGGCAGCTGAATTTTTGCAGTCTTGGAAGTCTTTTCTTGCACACTGCTGTCTGTCATCTGCATAGCTGCCTAGGGAATCTGATCAAAAATCAGATTCAAAAATCAAAGAACATCCATTCAATGGAAAAACCTAAGAGTTCCAAGATGGTAAATATTTGGCTTGCAGTACTTCAGATGTTATTAAAAAGAAGTGATTTGGAACATGTGTGAGCACAAAAGCATCTTCCACTCATTAAAGCAGCATTGTCCTCAGGATCATGTAGCTGCAGAAGTCTCCTGGAAACAGAAATAGCTATTTTATTGAGTCACAGACAGTTGCTATATTTGTACTGCTGTGTATTCTGAAGCACATCTGAATCAGATCCAAGAATTGCACAGCCCTTATAACAATGCGCTTTTAATGAATGCTATACTGGATCGTGTGTTGGAAGCAGCACTTCTTCATAGTTATGAAACACTGGATCACAAGGAGTTGGTTCTTCAGTTACTATTTATATAATTTAAATGGATTTCTCACTAAATGTAAATTGTGTGTCATGAATTTTCTAACACTTCCTTTTTATCTTTGTGTTCTGGAGAATCTCCAGTACTTTCTGCTGCTAGGCTGTTTCTTCTGATTTTTCTGGTATTCAACTGGAATGTAAAAGTGATGGGACTGAAGTGTTTCATCCAAATTTAAGGTGGACTCATATAAATATTGAACCTAGTCCAAGTTGAAAATATAGAGAACTGGTCATATTTCTTGCCTTTTTTTAAAAAAAAAAATAAAGTTTTTAGAAATTACTTTTCAAGCCTCTGACTGAAATTGTGTGGTTATTTATTGCTAAAAGAACCCTAAACTAAATGATGACTGAAACAACAAATAATAACATTATTCCCATTTTTTCTTGAGGAAAATCTGGCAATTTTTGCTGCACCAAGAGCTCTGGGTATTAAGTTATCCTAGTTCAGTTTTCCTACTTCATTAATGCATTAGTGCTAAAGTTAAGACAGAATGGAAGTCAAAAACATGAAGTACTAAATTATAATTGGGAAATTGGCGATCATTTGCCCCATTACATTGTTGGCCAGGGCTGATGGTAAACAGAGGTTTATCACCATCTGTGGCATCATAAACTGCCTGTTCTTGAACTAGTGAGAGCAGCTGGAAGGATAAAACCACAGGTTAGGAAGGCATGGAAAAGTCTGTCTCCAAGATGATGCTATTCCCAGAATGTCACTTCAAGCTTCAAACTATGGATAAGAATAACAGCCTGGTTGATATCAGACCATTGCTCAATCTTTTCAAACCAGCAGGTACATTTAATGTGCCATGTGTATAGAAAATATGGGGAGCTGAGCCACCAAATTTTTGGCTTTGGTATATTGATTTTTTTTTTTCTAAAAGCCATTTTAGGTTGCTGTTTAATTGGGATAAAGCAAAAACAAAACATCCACTTCCAAATGCAACACTGTTTTGACAAGGAGACAGAGATGCAGAAAAAAAAACTTTTGTTTATGGTGTCCTTTAAGTTGTTCTTCACTCATTCTTTTGCTGAAGGACTTTTTTATAACAGCTTAGAAAGGAAAACATATCTGAGTGGTTATGAAAATTAGCATAGCAGGCAAAAATCTTAGGTAAGATTTATGAACAAGAAAATATAACTTGGGGGGAATTCTCCAATTAGTTGGAAAGATAAACACATCTATATCTACTTTTACCTCTGTTCTTATCTATAAGAACAGGCTTAAAATCTGTGCAAACTTCTCCAACTTTCAAGACAAATATCCTTCTATTAACCTAGCTCCTAAAACTCAATTGATGATCTATCATGAAAGTATAAAAACTGGACCTGTGCAGTTTGAATATGATTTGAAAGAAATATTTTGAACCTAACCATAGGCAAAAACCTCTTTGCCATTCATAAAAGCAACTTTGTTTTGGTTTCCATTGCAAGTTTAAAATTAAGGTGCCACTGCTTTAAGAATCACATTAACTGTCATGAACTTCTTAAATAGCTGCATCTTTTTTCAGGCTCAATGGAAGCGCCCATTAAAAAAAATCATGTTCATTTTGACAAAAGCTGTTTCTCTTAATTCATGACTGTTAGCAGGGGTATAGACTCCCCTCTTCCCATGACAGACAAAACTTGAGACAATAGATTTTACTGTTTTATTTAGTAAAATGTTAAATAAATACAAATTGATCATTTATTCTGCACCCTCTTTTCCTTCCCGGTTTAATAGACTGAAATCTAGACACGTTACCAAACCCACAAGGGGAGTGGAAGGCTACAGAAAGAAGGCAGCAAAGAGACTGAAAAATTACTAGGAGCACCAGGCTATTTCTTTTTTTAATCTTAATTCCCACCCACCCACCCACCCAAAAAGCAAAAACAAAATCCTTAGGTAAGGTCATGTATCTGTATACCATTCACAGGGCGACTATCTGTGAAACAGGTTGCACCAAATTTACTTAGTCTTACAAATGATGTTAAGGACTGGGCTGCAGTACAAGTGGAGTTGAATTTAGTTGGAATGTACATTGCAAAAGGAATGGACAGTATGGTATGGAGCAGCCAATTGCTGGCTCCATGAGGCTACATGTTCCTGCATGTGATTCCAAAGATGGATATACTGGGCTGGAGACTTACTGCTGGAAAAGCAAAAATGTAGTTTTCCGTGAGGTCAGCCACTTTTTATCACACACTAGTTATTGCAAGGAGTCCTCTTCCAATTATCAGAAAGTTTTGCTATAAACAATTGAATCAGGTCTTAAAATAAAGATACACAGATGATTCATAGGGAAGTCAGTAGGAATATCTGTGTTAACTGCATAACTGAGCGAATTACAAAATAAGATACAAATTAATGTAACATTAAATACATCCTAGGTACTTGACAAGGAAGCCTAAATAGACTAGCATTTATTAATTCCTTTTTAAAAAAAAAAAACTAAAACAAGAGTTTCCTACTTAAATACTGAAATTTCAGTCCTGGCTTAATTCCTCTTGGCCTTATATTTGCAATACAAATTAGCATTAATGGGATTTTTCCTTGGTGTTTTAAGGGATGTCATCATGAAGCGGGTGTCTTGTTCCCCAAGACCTACCTTTATGCCATAACAAAAGCAGAATAGTTAACAGAAAAGTTTGGTGTACTCCTTACTTTAGTAGAAGATTCTGACAACAAGACTCTTCACAGTGATCCAGCTGCCATGTTTCTGACATCAAGGCTGATATATAAGTACACAGCTACAAAGTACAAAAATCACTGAGATATTGGCAAAGGGAAATAAAGTTAAGAACTCATCAACCATTTCCAAAGAGTAGTCTTTCTATATCTAAAGAATATTGACAGCAGATGTAACACACCAATCATTGCCTTTATCACCTTCAATAGGTAGAGGAAAATTTGCAAAGAAAGGCTCCTTTGTGATTTTAAATCAGGGTTCTAAATTGCATGGAAAGCCTTTGTGGGTAAGAGGAGCATCTCAGCAGTCTTTTACACATGAAGAATGGTGAAAAGGATTACAGAAGACAGACAGAGCTGACATGCTTATCATTGCTTCCTCCCAAGTGTTTAAAGAAAGTTTGGCAAATATTTGAAGATGGTTATTTACCAGAAGATGGTTATCTATGTGGACTAGAATTAACTCCTTGGTAAGGTTCATACTTCAGGATAAACAAAATCTTGCTGAGTAAATCATAATGTCTGATTTATATACAGAATGTCAAAGTCACGTTAGGGCTAAGTGTGATGTGTAACCCCAAACGTTCATTTTAAAGGTCTTGTACTTTACAAAGGAGACCTTAGATAAACTGAGGTAGAATAAGTGTTGGGAGACAGGGAGATATTTAATGCTAAAAATATACTTATTTCAGTCATGATTTTTAAAAATGAGAGAGCTGTGTAGAGCTACTCTAAAAATGGCATGGCATGTACATAAGACAACAGCCAGTTATTATCCATTCTTAGATATGCAATACGTTTATCAATATTTGAAGAACATTACAGAACCTTATGGTTTCATGATCACCTGTTAATGGGAAGACACATTGGGAAAGAACCCTGCTTTTTTGTTCCACTATATCACATTGGTAGAGCCCAGGAATTTAACATAACTTCACGTTTTACACAACACTACCTAAATCAGTTGGAGATGAAGGAGGGAATCAAGTCCCTTTTTATGAGGCATATGTGTTTTTTTCTGAACCAAATCTACCAGTAGAACCTTCTTGCTTTCACTCATTGTCAGAGTTGAGCTTTTTTTTTGGGGGGGGGGGGGGGGGACGGGACAGGAAATAATCAATTATAATGAGGAACATAATTTGTAATCCTAGGATTTGTAGCAGGGGTCATATGTTATCTATATATTGCAATTCTGAATTGATCAAGAACACCTCTCTTAAGTAGGAACGTTAAAAAATGGAAAGGATTGTAGAATGACTGCAAGAAGGCTTTGCTATGTGTTCACAGTTTAAAGGAAATCAATGGATTAAATAGGATCAAAATCTTAAAATAAGGGGGAGTCACAATGTTAAGCCAAGGGGAAGCTCGTTGCTGCCCTACAGCTGCATCACAAATCTGTGTTTGCACAATTATTTGATACAATTTTCCAGTAGATTAAGTGCATCAAGTCCCACAAAGGACCAGCCCATCTAATCAATTCTTTCATTTTTTTACAATATAAATCAAAATATTTTAAACTCCAAATTACTTCCTCACACATTCACAGCGAATTCCATGATATACAGCACCACACATTTATAAGAGAATGTATTGTGATATACCGATACAGCTGACAAGATATAAACAGCCAATGTGGCACTGAGCAGAGGAGGAGGAGGAGGAGAAAACCAAGATTAATTGTAAGCCAGTAGCAACCATAAGCATGGTTTGTCCTAATTCTAATGATGTTTCTGAATATTTCTCTGACACAGTGCTGACATGAAGTGTTATTAGAAACACGGAACTTCTAGCTAATAAATTCTAGCTAATAAAATAATGTATAATGGCAATCTTATCTCACAAGAAACGTCTTTTCTGTGGTTCCCTTTTATTTTGAGACCAACCCCTTGCATTGAAAAAAATCTAACATCCATTACATCATTGCACATTTTTTGTTCAATAAAACAAATATTTATCCATTCTGGAAATATGAAAGAATCCTTCTATAAAATCCAAACTTTATTTTATAATTTGTGCTGTATTTTTCAAAAGTCAAATCTATGAACAATGTTTTGTTTCTGGACACTGAGAATTCAGAATAGCCTGCTAATGATTGCTTTCCTCTCTTTCCCTTCATCTTAACTGGTTACAATGCCAGGGCAGGAGATGCAAAGAAAAGTATGCATGTATAAAATTGAAGAACGATAAACTGACAACAGCCTTATTTATGATATCCAATAGTGCTGGGTGACAATCCTACTAGTCAGAAGACAAAAGATTTATTCATTTTATCAGAATAAATCCAAAACAGATTTTTAGTACATGGGAGATTTGCCTCAAGCAATCATATCCTTCATATAATTATGAAACTGGAACCCAACACTTTTTTATACTTCTTTATAAAGAAGTTGCCCTACCTTTCTGAGGCACTGACTCAAAATTTTGTTATTCACGATTTACAGCATCTAAAGGAAGAGAATAACTTGCCGTGGGGGGATCCCTGTTTCAGCCTTTGTCACATTTAGCAGGAAGAGTAGTTCTGCCTTTATTCCACTTCCCTCTGAAGGACAGAAGGTGACCATGGATACCAAACTCCAACCAATTCAAAGTGAACTCAGGGACCCAGCAAATGGGAATAAAGTAACTAATATTTAAGATCTTGTTTGCTACTATCAGCAGAGAAAACTGGGCAATTTCACTCATTCCTTTTTCTCTAAAAGGTGTCTTTAACACAGGGCTAAAAACTTGCAACCTGTAAAGTCAAATTCAACTCATCACACGTGTAATCTCGCTTGCTAAAACATCCCAGGCAGGCAACAATAGGAAATGGGTTTATTAAATGGTTGGCTTACTAAAACACAAAATTTACAATATTTGCTCTGTGTATTCTTGTGATGATACTGTATACTCAGAGCAACTGTCAATCTGACTGAGTGTCTGTCTTTCATTTATACCCATTAATGACATATAATCTTTGGAAATATGCTAGCTTCACTACAAAATATCAAGAGTTGACATTTAACCCTGACATTTTCAAATGTAAAGCAAGTTCTGTTTGACGGGATTTTTTTTTCTTATTTTTTACTAATTAACTTGAGAATGAACCATCAGTTGCTAGGCCCTAAAAGCAAGAAGCCTAACTAAAAATGACTGAAACCTCAGGGATAAGAATGGAAGCCACAAAAAAAACAGAACAGCCACAATAACTAGCAAACTTGAAATGAGTATACAAATAAAGTGCATAATGATGCATAGATCTTTAATGTAGAATAAGCGCACCTGTATCATTAATGATTAGCAGAAATAAAGAGTTCTGCTAACATGTATCCAGATAACGTTTGGGCCAACATTGTCATGATTTAGTGACATGAGTTTTGCCACAAAAAACACGTTGGGTGATTGCACTGATATATACAAAACTGGCTATTTCAGGCTTACAGATTTGATGTCCAGCATCAGCCTTTCGATCATTGCAGGATTAGTTTGACAATTATCTTAAAAAGTAAGATAAGAAGTGTTATCCATCAGCTTAGGTGCTATATTGCAATAGAATAAAAATGATTAATGCTGTCAATGCTATTCTCTGTGCTTTTACAGAGAAGAGATCCCCTTAGTGTAAAAAAATGGTTTCAGCTCAGATTCAGTTTAATCGTGAAGGCTGTTTCAATGGCATGACAACATCAAGATATCCACTCCAAGGCATTTTCAAACTGAAACCACAGCATTATGGCAATACCAGAAATAAAATCTGTTTGTTTAAAAAAAAAAATCTAAGTACACAGAATTTACTCCAGTTCTGACACCTTTTTAATAGAAATCACTTGTTTAGGAAACAAATAGCACTTTTGTAATTTTTTACAATGTTTCTTACCTTGATCTTATTTTAAGTAACACTAGGAAGACCTCAATATCTTTTTTCTTTTTTTAATTTAAAAAAAGTTATTTTTCCCCAGATACAAAGATTTGCCCTTGCATAAAAAACAGTGCCCAAAACGATGACACACGGACTCACAAAGACTCACTGTATCTCACTGACACTATTACTTCTAATCTATACCATGCAAGGTCCCATCTACCTTTTTATTGGACTGTCAGCCTGAAAAAAAGAGTTTTTCTATTCCTTATATTTGTAACCAAAAGAGAAAGGAACAAAGGAAACAGGCATTTTACCTATTTGGGCAATACATTAGGGACATGTGCTGTGCTGTTTGGGATACTGCTTTTGCTGGACAAATGTACCAAAAAGAGAAAAAAAATTCTTTTCACTCATGGCCTGCTTTACAAAAATGCAGGCTGATCATGTTAGTCTCCTTCCAAGCTACCTCAGTAAAAGCTTCCTTCTTAACGTAGCAACTAAATCAACAATGCATTTCATTTGCATTTGAATATATTTTCTGAATACATTAAGAGAGAGAAAGAAGGGGGTGGGGGGTGGGGGGACAACCCAAAGTTGCCAGTCTTGTAATCTTCAGCCTTTTGGATACTTCCTGAAAAATCCTTTGTTGTGTTTTCTGTAAAAACAGTTGTAAATACTGCTTACTGGATAAGTTTTTCTCCCCTTCCCCATCCCCTTTTAGGATACTAGGATTTGTTAATTCTTATTTTTGCATTTTTGGTTTAGTAATATGGACAATTTAGAAACAGGAAAAGCTCACAGGCTCTTTGGATTTGAAGTTCCCCTAGCTAAACAAAAACTGGTCTATAGATAAGGTCTGAAACCTGCTCCTCCCTGCTCCCTGCCCCCAAATAAAAATAAAAAAACAAACCTATAGTGGCTGTGGAGGCTGCTGCAGGCACACTCTGGTGTAAAATATAGAGAGTAAATATCTTATTTAACTTGGCATGGTGCTGGCTAAGAACCTCCAGCTGGCACTATTCATGTAACATGGTCCAAACTTTGCACGTACACACAGAATAAGAAGGATCAATTGGCAAACTTAGTGCCGCCCGGCACGAGCATCTTCGCACTCTTTCTGGAACTAAAGAGTTTCTTGTACTTTCCAGAAGAAATCCATTTCCTTTTCTAGAGGGTCTCTTATGTTCTTCTGCTTTGCTGCCATCTCCTCTGGCTCCTTCTTATTGTGCTCTGTTATTTAGTCTCATTGCCCTTCTTACAGTTCACCATGCAGCTCTGGGAGGGGGAAGATGCTGGGGTGGAGGAGGTGGCAGCTGTCACATTACTGGCGGAGTCCATGCCATTGGAGATGGCTGCTGAACTGCCTTCAGAGTTTATGGATTTGGAAAGGTTGATGCCTTGGATGAGGTGAATTAACTGTTTTACCTTCTCCAGTGAACTGTGCATTTCCTTCTGTTTTGCCAGGATTGTGTTCTTCATTTCCATACATTTCTGAAGTGAATCAGAACATAAATCTTAGTGAGTACACTGATGAAAAAGCCTGCACTAGTACAAAAAAAGAAAGCCAAATGTGGAAGTGGTATGCAGAACTAACTGCATTTAGCTCAAACGGACTTACATTACAGAAAGATCTTTAAAAAAAACATTTTTGTTTGTATGTGGCTCTGTGTACATTTGATTTAAAGCTATGTTTATGCAGCACTATAGATATCAATAGAAAAAATACCATATTTAGTAATGTGAAATAATCAATCCTGGAATCTCAATTTTAAAAAGCAAGATGAACACTGAATTCTTCCCTTTGAATGGCTGAAATTTCTTTCTATCTATCGATGGCATATTTCTGATTTACCATATACACACCTTGATCCCACAGGAACAATCTCTGCAAGAAAATAAATTTCTATACAAAAGCTGCAAAGGTAGTATATGATTCATATTTCTATATTATGTCTAATCATTAGATGAACAGCTATCTGTTTTGGAGGGAAGAAGAGGTACAATCTAAATTTGGGTGGCTAGTACAAACATATTTTGTAGTATATCTCTGATTTAGAACATAAACTGATTTATTTCTCACAAGTTTCATGGAAAGGGAAATAACAAAACTGAAGACTTGGGCTGCTAGCAACTGCAAACAGATTCTATCTATCTGTCTGTCTATCTATCTATCTATCTATCTATCTATCTATCTATCTATCTATCTATC